AATGATGACCATGCAAACTTTAAATACTTTGATGACAATCGATGGACAGTTTAAGCTAGAGTCAAGAACATGTTATGTTGGAAGTTATGAAGGTTTCTGTGTATCAAAATTTCAAGGAGTTAGAGACCCCCTGAGTACTTGTATTTTATATCACTGATATTTCCTTTGGTTTGCTTCCTTGTTTATATTTAGCTTGTTTCTCCCGATTTATATAACGACGGTTTCAGTTACTTTCATCGCAAGCCTGTAATATCGGGCTTTGATTCTTAAATCTTGGTTTCTTTCTAAATGTAGATATTTGGACCGAAGAAGCAGGAAGCAACCAGAAGCTCGGGAAAATTGCATAATGAGAAGCTTCTTAATTTGTTCTCTTCACACAGTATTATTAGGTTGATAAAAGTAAATAGTATGAGATGGGCGGGACATACAGCACGCATGGGACAGATGACAAACACATGCACAAATTTACTCGGAAAATCTGAAGTGATGAGACCCATTGGGATTCCATGATCAGGTGGAAGGATAGTATTAAAATGGATCTTATATAAATATGTTATGGACTGGATTTGTCTGGATCAAGGTACTGACTGAGAGCTGTCTCCTATTATCACTGTAATTAAAATTGAGGTTCCATGAAGAGCGGGTAATTTCTTGCGTATATCAGCGGCTGTCGGGTGTCAAGAAGGATTGTTCTGCATGGTATTAGCTTTGTGAGTTGCACGGTTTATGTTGAATTGAATCTGAATGACAGTGGGAGGGAAACGTTTTAAAAGCAGTCTATTATTCCATGTGTTTAATGTTAAATTGCTCTTTCGGACTTTGTCCATGTAGTGAATTATAGAATAAAATAACGTTTGGAAAACTCGATTCTGCTTTCATAATCGGGTAAAAAAGGGGAGAAATCTGTTGGGCCCCCTGCCACTAGTATTCTAATAAAAACGAAGGCTGCAGCCATCACACTCTGTATGCACCAATAATATTATTACTAAACAAAATTTAAACATTCAGATAACATTACAAATATCTAGTAGACCTTCGTCTGTGACCAGTTACTCTGCCATAATAATAAATAAAGTAGGTCATTGCCTGACATAAAAGTCAAGTGATAGCACTCCAACGTCAAATTAGGGAGAAAGGTCCATTACATTCGAATATCTCTTACAGATTTTACTTAAATTCCATGTCTCTTTCAGCCAAATACTTGGTTTATACTTCAAAACATGCAATGATCGCAGCCTTACACATATTTTACAATTAATAATTTACAATCATTTTGCTGTTATACGCTGTGTGAGCTATGCAGTTAAAGTATTGTTGAATAAAAAATTGAGTTTCTTTCACTCAACACATATTTATTTATAACGTTAAAACATAATTTATTACTTAGCATCCTTTCTCTGTAAACTAATTAACTGAAATTGCTATATTACAACGAATGGTTATTTATCTCTGTATTATTTAGCATGTTTAAGTTCTGTCCAGTCATCCTCAGGGGTAATGTATTTTCATTACTTTGCGAAAACTTTTGATTGCAGTGTACATAAATATTATGTAACATTTTATTAAATGGTGTAACTATTAAATACCAGCATGTAAAGTGGCTAATCGCTAAGTGGTAAAGTGGCTAATCGAAGACAAAATCTCCTACGTTGCATGAAAGAAAGCAAATCATTGGGAGTTGAAAATTACATAATCTTCTCAACCAACTTGCGTTTTCATGCCATTATCCCGGCATCATAATGTTTATTGTTTTGGCTGTTGTGCTAGTTATTATTATTAAGTTAATTGGGTGTTCAAATAAAGTAGGTGATGAAATGTTTCAGATCGAAGTATTAATATCCTCTTGGAGAAAGAATATTTGGAAATTGGTGGTTATATATGAGCGTAATTTTAACTTAAAACATATTTAATTAAAAACAGAGTGGACAAAAGATATTTAGGAACAATTTTGTTTGACCAGTAATGAGTTTAATATTAAGTAGGATTTGAGGTTTTCACGGCGGTGAGTCCTGATAAGGGAGGTAGCAAGGACCTCTGAAACACTGGTAAACTTCTACCAGATTACACGGCGCTTCAACTCAGAAGACAGCCGTCTTCGAGTTTAACATTGTTTACATTCATGCGGTGTTTTGTTTTTAGGTTGTGGTCGTCAAATATTAAAGCAGAACTTAATGAGAACGAACCGCACCTATATTTTAGCCTTGAATGAGGTATGAAATTCCACTGTGGCATAAAACATTCTAGGAATCTCCGTACGCAGGCATATGCACTATTGTGCAATGCGTTTTTCAACACCTGTTAGTTTTCACAAAACACTTTTGTCTGTAAGGTCCTTGTTGTCTCGAGCGTAGTTTTAGTGTTCGTTTGAAATTGATATGATTGGCTGCCACATATCTTACATTTGTCCTAATTGGACGGCTATCTTTGTTTCATCTCGGTACAAATTTATATTCACATTCGCACAGCATAGCACAACAGGAAAGTTGTTTGTTCTAAACAGGCCTGCTAATAATCTATTGTGCTTACGAAGTAAATATCTCTGCTGTTGATTATAATTACCTTGATATCACGCATTTGAAGTTAGTTAAAAAGGACCAGAAACTTGTGAAGTGTACCAAATAATGGATAGACAATCGACGCAGGTGTAAGATAACAGACTGAGTGCAGAGGAGGAAATTTGAGGGAAGTAAGAGCCCCCAACTCCGCCTCAATTTTCAAACTCGCAGTGAACTGTAAGCATCTGGAGTGCTGTAAATATTTGTATTGGATAAAAAATTAATGAAAGCACGTATTATATGACTAATTATATGAATGTACATAATTAATGGCCACAGTTCCCTCTACTTCATTTCTTTGTCATTAGTTTTAAAAATTCTAATAAATGGCTACGGGGTAAGAGTTCTTCGTGACGTTTTGTAAGTATTGGTGTGCTATTAACTTCAAACGGTCTATGCAAATGCCCTTCTATACTCGTGTTTTAGTCTAGCGTTTCAAAGAGCAAACTTTTATGTAATTAGATTCTTGAACTTTTCACTATATTCTAATACAAATTTCCACTTTTAAAGTACAGTAGGCTGAAGGCTGTACATAATTAAAATTCAGATATGTATTTCAATTTATTTTTAATAGCGTTTAGTTTGTGAGACCGGCTATCCTGACGTAAATTTCGTGGTTTTACACAGCTAATTCTCTAAATATGTTTCAATGCAGTGTTATATTACGCAACAGACAATGGATAAGCAAAAAATAATCAAATTAGTTATACTCCGCTCCCCCAAGATAATTGCCGACATGTTTGTTGGAATAAACCATGACCGCATGTTGTAACATAATTCATGATTAACTATCATTGTTCCATATTGTTCGATGGTGCGTGTACTTAGCAATTGAACTGGAGCTGTAAAATAAAAATGTTTGGAATGCATGAAAATTCTACACGTCGATAAAACGAAATTCGTTTTGTTTTTTCCATGTACCATTAAACCAGATCTCACAACTTTGCTCTTATTCTGAGATCTGCCTTACGTTATTCTCCATTGAATCCCTAGGTCTTCCAATAAAAACGTTTTGGAGGCTGTATTTCTTACTTCAGTCTTGCACACCTAAATATGTGCTCATTTTACTTCACATACATAAATGGCATAACTCTGAAAGTATGTTTGTCTAGTAGGCATTATTTATTATTTACAATATTTATCCCTTAAGACAAAAGTAATCTGAATAATATTTTCAAGCTCGTTCCATACCTTAAAGGAAAAAATTATATTTGTTCTGAAGACAAATTGAAACGTAAAAATACCCTCTTTGATTGAAATTAAGAGTTACTGAACGTTAATATATTTCTGCTCCTTAAAGGGTTGAATGGTGTTCTATTTTAGTGCAAATAAATATTATATATTTATAATTTTTGTGTGTAATGGATATTTGAACAAATGTGATGCACGGCCAGACAGAAATATGTAAATTTTTTAATGTGGCAGTTATATGAAAGGAAAACAAGTGGATAAAGATCTACATTATGAAACTATCTTGTCTGCTGGAAGTGTAGCCCATTGCAACGAAGGACACATCAAACCTGTCTGGGAGGTTCTCAAAATGGAAGCAACATTACACATGTAACAAGGTCTGAAATTGGGTCTACCACCTACCACATTCAAAACTAGTTTATCGGTTATCACTTTGAGACCCTGTACACAATAATTGTGCAGGTCAGGACATTTCGTCTGGTTACATCGTAGGATAACGCAAATGAATCTTGAGTTCTGTATTTTGCGAACGTGGTGATCTCTCTCAACGTTACGTATTTATAGTGTTCACATCTGTTACAAGATTTCATCAAAAAACTGGAAGAAGGGAATAAAAGAAAAAGGGTACGAAAATAACTAAATTAGTGGCAGGAAGGAAAATGGAGGCGAAGAAGAAGAAAAATGATGGAAAATAAGGAATATGATGAGAAAAAGAATACAGAAAATGAGTCCAGTACTTTTATGTATGGCTCTAAAATGGTTAAGTGATTCGATAGCATTTGTCGGAAAATTGACTACATGATTTCAGTGGGGGTATACAAATATTCGAAAGGAATTTCAATTCTTTCTTGCATGAACTGCATATCCTATATTGCATTACACTTTATTGAACCCGATAAAAAAACGGTTTAGAAATGGAGAAACAAATTATTACCCCAAAGATCGCATATAACGACCGGTTTAGAAATGGAGAAAAAAATTATTACCCCAAAGATCGCATATAATGTAACTGAATATGTAAGGATGTTGCTCGACCTAATATACGCACTTAGATACATAAATATATGCATACATACCTAATTACCATGATAAACAGTGAACTCTATTAGAAATATGGGGTAAGAACAGAAAACTTATATTTCTGAAGAAAGGAAAATAAATTGAAACCTAAATTTCTATATTTATTCGCGTCAGTCAGGACGTTTTTTCTAGTTAGTAAATATGCTTAAGGGGTCTCATTTGTCTTTCCATTAGTTGGCAAGAATCCGGTCTAAGGCGTGGACCCTGGCCGCTCGAACGTTGCAGTCGAAGGATCGAATCCCACTCGTGGCATGGACGTGCGTCCGATTTTCTTGTGTTGTGCTGTCCTGTGTAGGCAGAGGCCTTGCGACGGGCAGACCCATCGTCCAAGGATACCTGTTAAATGCGCACAAAATGTTTGAGAAAGCTGACCCAAGTTAGTTCATTATTTAGTCACTTATGGATGGGCGTGTAGTGCGCTGGGGAGGGATCAGTACACACTGCTTGTAAGGTGAATGAATTAATCAGGAGATAATATTAAGATTAGTTTTAAATAAATCATTATTCACTGTTATCACACCAGTCAACGTTATATAACTATTGCAATTGACGAAATTTTCCAGGAAAATGTTGGAAAAGTGCCCCAAAATAGACCACGGACACTTCCTTCCACACTTTCTCAATTTATTATCCAATACCATGCTTCTGTTCAAAGCGACATAACCAATTAAACTGAAAAACGTCGTTAAATAAACTAAAAGGCACAATAAGCCCACCTATTTAAAATGAAAGCCCCGTCTAGCAATAAGTTCACCTATTTAAAATGAAAGCCCCGTCTACTATTACCTGTCTTCATTACTGAAGAAGCTAAGGTAAAATATGTATGGTATCCGTTACAGAGAACATGCAGAGACTTCTGAAAGTCAGGTGATGCCGTAATTGTAAGAAATGCTTCTTGTGTGTAGTAACAAGGTCAAGATAAACTCACAAGCTGTTATCTTGTCTACCGAGAGAGACAGGTGGTCAGAACGTATATCGGAAACTTTTTGCCGTTTATTACGTATTTGTCACTGTGAAATGTGGTATTGCTAACTTTTAATTGTGACAGATATTGGATACATACTAAACAGTAACATGTCACTTGCACAGTCTAGCAGTAATAAAGTTTTATTCCCATTTCTTCTGTTAAAACAGGTTCTAGTTCTAGAAGATGATTCTTACACAATTGGTGTCCTTCAAAACCTTATATAGGCCTAACCCTGAACATAAATAAACTGGGACTTGAGAAACTCTGAAGTTTATTTTTAAGGTGACAATAATATTGTTGAAGATTACTTATAAAATGCTGAGATTCATAACTTAAGAGTCTTGCTGAAATTCCTACATGAGTAGGCCCCTGATCTTACTACAGGATATTTTTCTAACCTTTTTTCTGAACCAAAAGGAAAAAGGTGGCTAGTTCTGTCTGTCAGTCCATGCATAGGACCCTACTACAAATATTTATAACATTTACATTTACTACGAGATATGTGTTGCCTTGATGTCATATATAACAATATATCAGTATGCTCAATACGTAATTAATAAACTACCTAGTACAGAATCTTAATCGAAAAGTTAATAGTTACACTCATCTGATAAGAAATTTATCTTAAATTTCATTTAAATAACTGTACTTACAGAAAGCCAACATTTGTCATTCTCATGTTATAATATTATTCATCCAATTTTATTACGCAGTGAAACCCGTCGATAGCACAAGTGAGATGAACCAGAACATTTTAATCGTAGTATTTTTTATCAGCATGCCACCCAAGTAAGCTACAAGCCGAGTTTCAGCACACAAGTAGTGTCGTGTAAACTATATGGAACTTCATATTCATAAAACCAAAATTATAGAGTATTTCATTTAAATATAACTGCAACTATAACTGTGTTTGTAAGATTTAATAATGTAAATATAACAAGACAAACGATTTTGATAACTGTATTTGTAAGATTTAATGATGTAAATATAACAAGACAAACGATTTTTTAGTTTGTATTTGTTAGTAAGAACTCTCAGAACAGCTTTACAGAAGAAGATGCTGAAAATATCCGCCACATTCTGAAAGGCAAGCATCCACCACTTTTAGTGCGTTTCGTAGGAATTTGTTAAATATTTTTGGCCAGTGTTTGCAGCTATCTGTTAAATATTATGTTTAAATTAGTCTAAGCTTCGTCGACTAGTAGAATAAACTTTTTTAATGAAATCCCCTCAGAAGGACGTCTGCTGGGGTAATGTCTGGAGGTGACGATGGCCAAAGGCCACGCCCAATAATGCGTTTCCCGAAGAACACTTGCAGTAAAGCATTTGTTGGATTTGCAGTGTGAGTCGTCGCCTCATCATGTTGAAATCAGCAACATTTTCTTTCACTTTAGATAAATTGGGTTGGACGTTTTTGATACCGTTTCTCTTTAACTGTTTAGTCAAACCACAATGATAACACATTTATCCTTCAAGACACTGCGTATCACATGCAAATCTTCAGTGAATACAGAGGGGTTTGTTGCATTGCATGTTGGTTTTCACCATTCCACATTCGGTTGTTTTGACTTAGTGTAACCACGGAAATGGAGCTAATCTTAGTCACGAAAATAAATCGTCCGACACATGAACTTCTCCAAGCACAAAACGACGACACAAACGGCAATATTGAATTCTTGCAGCTGTTTCCTGTTGTTGCAGCTGATGAACTGCTTGAAACCGGTACGGCCATATTTTATTTTTGTCCTTGATGAACACTTGTCACAGATAATCAACTTCGTTCAGATAATCTTCCCAAAGATTTTTGCGGTGAATCGCGCCACTGTTTCTTTAACGTCGCGGAGAGTCTCATCTCTGGACACTGTCCGACGCCGGACATGTCGCAAGCAGTGTCTGTGTCCCGGAATTTTTGTTACCAGTCAGTGCATTTTCATATTAGGTATTTCCTTGTCTGGTTGTATATTGCTGAATGATTCTCAAAAAGCAGAAAACTATTTCGATACAAATTGGTTTTCGAGAATGAACACATGTTCTACTCGTGAATACATCCCGTTCGCAACTGCACAGCTTTTGAGCAGTTGGCGTCGGCAGCGGCTTAGCAACAAGGGCGACGTACACTCGAGTGTCACCAGGAAGATAGGGAGCGTCTATTACACGGTGGTGGAGCAACTTCTGATCTAACTTTCCTTAGTATGTATTTGTTATTGTTTTGCGTTGTAAGTGGTACACTGTGTATCATTCACGCTTAAAAGTTACGTCATTGATTGTAATTAGTTTTTTATTGAAGTTAAAATTTTGCTTGTTGACGAAGCATGGTGTAATGCTAGATAATAAATTGCATTTTACTGACACTAAGGGTGTTAGGTATTATTTCATATACGTATTATGCACATATAATTTTCTCCTTTACATAATTTAGTTTACGCAATTCTCTAATTAGTTTCAAGCTCGAGTTTGCCTCTGTTGTATGGAATAATCCTACGCTGACTGGCTGTAGCAGAATATAAAATATTGATCGTTTGCCAGTTTGCGTAACTATCTTTTCTTTCTTATTTTTATTTCGACATGTTTCTTTCTTTCTTTTATTTCGACATGTTTCTTAAATATGATTTGATTCTGAATTGTTTGAATTTTAGAACATTTCATTCTAGATGGAAAAATCTCATTGCTTTATTTCTTTGTAATGTTTTCAAGGGCAAAAAGGAAATTTCTATTCTGTTTATGGGCACTGTTGGTATTATTGTGCCTACAAGGCAAACGAGAATAACTTCCACTTTAAGTGAGCAGTGGACTAAGAAAATATTCTTTAGGTACATGCCCCATTGCTTCAATGGCCTATGTAAATAATTTGGGATTTTTAGAAAAAACAGTTTTACGTTTAAGCGCACTTCATCTGCAGTGGAACAGATTTTATTGTTTATTTTCAGCTTAATTTAGTTCGGTTTCAGTTTGGTGCTGATTAAAAAAACTGCTTTGGCTGTTTGCATTAAAGATTTTATTTTAGGATGTTTTCACTGAGTAGGTGACAGTTGGAAGTGCAAGTCTGTAAAATGAACAATCTGGATGGGACATAACTAGAGATTATGACTAAATAAGTACCTAGTAATTCTTAACTACGTAACTACCTAGATTGGCTGCGTAATTAACTAAATGACTCTCTAGGTAACTGTTTATTAAATGAACAGATTAATCATCCAATAACACACTAACCAACAAGCTAATTGGCTAATTAATAACCCATATAACTAAAGAATTAAGTCGCTAAATTATCTGTCAGCGCAATGAGTAACTAACCAGTAATCCTACTCTCTGTTTATCTAAGTAGATAATTATTTAGCTTAACAATAAGAACAATATGCAGATGTTGAAGATATTAGCATACTGGCGTTATACATCATCATGTTCTGAGAATAAGTTGCTAGGTAATGAGACAGCAAATTCAAAATCAGCTTAAAATTGCCGATTAATTTACATAAGCAATCTGAAGTGTACTAAGTCCTCCAATTATGTCAGTAACGAAGAAGGAATTGAAATCAAGAGAGCGTCAGTTAGTACAGCGGATACGTCTGAAGAGATTAATCTAGAATGAACGTATTTAAGGGTGTATGATTTAAAGTGCTTTTAAAATGACATACGGATTTCTTTTGATATTTTGTTGGCTCTATGTGGAAGTCTACTTGTGCAGTTAGGGACTCGATATTTTCACCTGAAGAATTCAATGCTTTGAAAACTGTCATAAATTTCAGCAGTTGATACAACTTCGTTGTTATTCTCACCAGTGAGAATCGATCCGCCGTTCCCAGGATTGTGAGGTGTGGCCCTGGTGTATGCGCCTGCGAGTTATATTAGCCAGTAGCACAACAGAAACGTTTGGGTTGCAGATAAGTTACGGCGCCTGCAGTGGTCAGAGTGGGGGAGTCTGTATCCTGAGGCATTGATAAAAATCACGTGTCCATTAGGGTGTAAGGCAGTACAAACTCACTGACAAATCTTTACCTGCCTGATGCAAATATAATGATATTTTTTTTTCTGAGGCCACTACGTGGTCCTGGTTTGCTATCGTCATCATCATCACTTCTTCGCCAAACTTCGTTTAACGCAGATCTGCAATATCCAAATAGAGTTATCTGACATGCGGTTGGTCCAATCAACACGGCTTCACAATTACGCTTTTCATTTCACAAACTGTATGCAAAGAGCTGAAGTAAACCATTAGTTGTGTTTGTCGATGTTGGTCTTGTGAGTAGTAAACGCGGTGTGGATTTGCAGGTATATACCAGGAAGACACATCATGTCAGGGAGACTTAAATGGTCGACAGGCTTGCATG